TTTCTCAGCGGATTTGGGCTGTACTCAGCAAGCGCAGTACAGCCCCCAACTCAGATTTGAAAAAAAAATCAGTGGATGGTTGTTTTCTGACTGGTCGGCGGACCGCCGACCGGTCGGCCCCGATTGGTCGGGGCAAAACGGTCGGCAGCCGGGGTCGGCGGTTTGTGCCGGTGCAACCCTGTAACTAGGATGATAGTCAACATTGTCCGCATGTCCGAAGCCTCCCATGCCGTCTCCTATTTGTAGACAGGGGCTGGAACAGCAGTGCCTATACAATTGTGGTCGCCTTGCCTCTGTGTTTTGAGCATGTGGGAGCAATGTTGCCTGTGGCATCTGTTTGGGCCTTACCAGTCAATGCAGCAACTGCAACTGGGAGAATTGGATGTGGCACTTCCACAGTCCACAACGGACCAGTCGTGTCATGAAAGCCACTAACAGGCGAACCGCGCTCCTCAGCTCATTTTTCTCTTAAACTCAGCCCCCGACTTGCCTCTTGTCCCTATCTAGCAGTCTCCTCTGTGGGTGAGCATTGAGGACACAATGTGGTCCCTCTTTCCCCCGCCTTTCTCCTCCTTCGACTCCCCTCCTCCTCTTCCCCCTTGCTTCTATCCCTCCTCTTTCCCTCCTCCCTCCCCTCGCGGAACATAATGTCCAGATGTGCTGAAAAGCAAATGGGTGTGTCCGCATCCTGTGCTTAAGTTCAAATTCTGAATACAACAATAAAACGACTGTTAGTCAACGCATTACAGTTATCAAACCGTTACAATTATCACAACACCATAATCATTTTAACTATCACATAGAACTCGATCGAAGATGATAAAAGCCGGTTTCAAATCAAATCTGGATCTACACATCCGGGTGGGAAATGGGTTGTTCTGGTGATAGTCTATAACACACCAGAGAAACACACATGTCCTGGCCTGCCCGCCCGCCTGCACGCCCACACATACACTCTTTCACGCCAGTCTCTGACAGTATGTTGTGTTCTTGTGAGTATTCAGCATGTACTATGTAATGGGGTCCTACTTTTCCTCTCATTAAACTCCCCCTTTCTCCCTTCTTTCTCCCCTCTCCTTTCCTTTTCCTTCTCACCTCTCCTGTACAATGTGCAGAACTGCTATGTGCACAAGGAGAACCAGCAATAAGTAAGGTGGAGGTGTGCTGGAAGGCAAATGGGTGTATAGCACTGTATACTATATACTATATAGGCATTATTCACTTAACTACACAAACTTGGCAGCCCTGGAGCGCACTCAAAATGCAGTTTGTGAAACAGCCATTTCACCAGACATCAGAATTATTTTAAATTATCACATGGCTCTTGGTGGAAAAGAGGGTTGCTGTGTTGATTGCTTAAAACACATGGATGTGTGTGCGGCCACACACACACAAACTTAATCTATGAACTACACCAGGCTGAGCTGGAGCCTGAGCATTTATGGGAGGTGCTTGAAATGCAGAATGCAGAGGAAGAGCTTCTACCCTCTCATGGCATGGCCTGGGGGGTCAGGCTCTGCAGCTCTTGGGGGCACTCTTTGAATCCGCTGTCAATCATCCCTGGCTAGCAAGAAACAGACCCAGTCAGCAGCGAGTGCACATCAGCCTTGGAATCTGTTCTTTCACTGCCGTTGTGCGTTGATTTAGCTGGTGGTGTTCGACTTGCATGCACTCAGCACATCTCTATACAGGATTTCGATCGCAGGGTCCAGGCAAGTCTATGTTCCGAAACTCCTGACGACGTTCGCTACTGCATCCATCCATGCATGCAATCCTCTCATAGAGCGGCAAGAGTGGACTTTGTGAGTTTCTGTATAACTGTAGCTGTGTACCTCTTTGTTCCGAGCATGTGGACGCCATGTTGCTCGTGACACCTGTTTATTCAACTTTATTGCAGTATGCCATCCGAAATAATGCATGCCACGCCCAGGATTACTGTGCTGGCGAGTAGTGAGTCAGTTCTCTCACTCACCTGTTTCTCTCCTAGTGTTCCTCCTGCGGAACTGCTAAATCCAAACGAAGGAGCATCTCTAATAGAACAGGCAAAACATAGTGTCCAAGCGTGCTGAAAGCAGACGGACTATGTAGGCGCCGACCGTCTTCACCCGAATAGAACGCCTGGTCATTATAGCTGCTTTTCAAAATATTCACCCGCAGATGAAACAGATGTTTTAATTGTGGCTTGTATGCATCCCGGTGGAGAAGGGTTCACTGTGGGGATTCTTTCAATGATGCATCTAGCTCCGTCTGGATTCAAACTCAGGTCTGTATTTCAACAATTTGTGGCGATTCTTTAGAACACCTAGTTTGTAACCGTTTGCATGCTTGTCGCCTACTTCTGAAAGGAATGACGCGTGCTGGGGATGTTTTGTTTTTTATGGCGTTGGCAGGTGCCCCGATCTGCATTTTGCATTTTGATAATTCGTTGGTGTCCATGTGTCCGATACTTGTCCACCTCAAAATTTAATTGATTATCACACGTGTGTAGGGAACTTAGGAGAAGAATGAGATAATGAGGTAGGGGTCAGGGGGAGCTGCCGTACGAGTGGTCAGCAAGCTGGTTCAACTACCAGTCTATCAGACCCCAACGAAGCAAAAGTTGCCTTTTCCCGAGCCTGCCTGCTTCAGTAACGGGCAGAGAAGAAAAATCTCAGGGTACCGGTGCCGGCCTGTGTCTTTTGGACCTGAGGTTCCAAAGACAGGTCATGGAAGGGATCATTGTTGCACTATTGTTTTTACAGTTTTTGTGCTTTTTTTCCCCCATGTCTCCACACCCTCCGCCTCCCCCCCCCCCCCCCTTTTCTATGTTTCGTGTTTTCACACACACACACACACACACACAGAGAGAGAGAGAGAGAGAGAGAGAGAGAGAGAGAGAGAGAGAGAAGCCTTTCCATCATGAATGGATCATGTGTCGTATTTGTTTTTTGCGAGCGAAGCCACAACAGGTCATCTAGTGTAAGGTGATTCTTCATAAACCTGACAAATTTATCTCGTCAACCCCCAAAGCCAAAGTCCACATGGAAAGTTCGATGCCGAGGTGATCCTAAGAAAAGAAACTCTTAAATTGTGACGAACTTTAGCCTGCAGTGAAGCCTGCAGAATGCTTCTGAGGATAGTCAGTGTGCTYGTGTTTGCTGGTCCCTTCTGCAGTCTGTGCCATCTGCTCTTTGCTTGCTGCTCAGCTTGTTTGATTCACACTTTCTGGGCTCTCTGGGTGGCGATCCGGCTTCTTCCTGTTACTTACAGCGGTGCAGATTTTGTTCAAAAACTGGTTCCTCTGCGGGTTGTCCAGTCTCACGTCGGTGTGCCGCCTGAACTACTTTTGTCACCCATGGTTAATCTCCAGAGGATATTGTTTGCAGAGGAGAGAGCTGCTTTCAGTCAAGTGATGCAACTAGGTGCAAGGTGAGGAGGTATACCTTTCGCGGCCTTTTGTCTAAGATAAAGTGTAGTATATGTTCTTATATCAGTTTTTTATTATCCGATCCGTGGTCCAGCAGACCAAATTAAAAAAAAAAAAAAAAAAAAAAAAAAAAAAACAAGGTGAGGAACTTTGTCAGGAGGTGACCACAGCAGACTAAATAGTAAATGGTAAAGACCTTCTACTTTGTGTTGAATAGGGTTTTAAACCCTTGCCAGTGTTCCCACCTTGTTTGTGAATGCATGCCGTATCATATATCGTTTGGCAAAAACCAGTTCTGCAAGTGTTGCTTGAAGACTTGGAACTGTTCTCTTGCAATTCATCAGTGCCATGCTCCTGCTCCTCCTCCTCCTCCTCCTCCTGCTCCTCCTGCTCCTCCAGCTCCCCCTCCTCCCCCTCGTCCTTTGCTGTTGTTGTTGTTGGAAACCATGGGCGGCGTAGAAGCACATCATCTTGACATTTGCTGACAACATGTGATGTTCCTACCAACTGCTGTCTTCGTCTTTTGCAGGGATGGAAAGGTTCATCCTCTAGCAGTAATGCATCACTCAGCAACTTATCACGCTTCCCTCTGCAAGCTCATGGAGTACTGGTGAGCTGATCTGCACTCATCCCTATCCAAGTGCTTGTTGTGTGTTTGTTTTTCGCAGCAGCATGTCATTGTTCCTCTCTGCTTTTCTTACTGTCTGGGTTAGTGGGTCGCATTGTCGTTTTTAGTACCTCTCTCCCCAACGTGATGCCGCCCCCCCATATGAATATATGCAAACGACCCGATCTCGTTGGTTGCATATAATATTCATATGGGGGGGGGGGGGGGGGGGGGGCATGCTGGGGGAGACAAGGGCGTGACAAGGGCGTGACAAGGATAAGATGACATAGAGGAGGAAGATGAGGAGATGAGGAAGGAGAGATGGAGGAGGAGGTGAGGAGGAGGAGAGATGGAGGAGGAGGACGACGACTGCGATGTGATAAGGAGGACGAGATACCATCACAGTTCGAACTTAGAAGTTTCCATTGAAAACAAAGAAAAAAGTGATGAAACCGTGATGACAAGGATGAGAAGTGGAGGAGGAGATGGAGAGATGGAGGAGGAAAGATGGACGAGGAGGGATGGAGGAGGACAAGGAGATATGGAGCAGGAGGAGGAGGACGACAACGATGACACCGAGATACCATCACAGTTCGAACTTCGAAGTGTCCATTAAAAAAAAAAAAAAGTAATGAGGCCGTGACAAGGAGGATGAGAGGTGGAGGGGAGATGGAGAGATGGAGGGGGAGAGATGGAGAGATAGAGGAGGAGAGATGGATGGGGAGGTGTGGAGGAGAAGGACGAGGAGACATGGAGGAGAAGGAGGACGGCGACGGCAAGGAGATACCATCACAGTTCGAACTTCAAAGTTTCCATTAAATAAACAAGTCACAGGCGTGCTGCGGCGATGCCGCGGCAGGGGGGGCACTGGCATGAGAGAGAGAGAGAGAGAGAGAGAGAGAGAGAGAGAGAGAGAGAGAGAGCTGTCTCTTATACACATCTAGATGTGTATAAGAGACAGGAAGAATGCTATAAAGAAAAAAGCAAGACGAGGA